CCTTGGTTCTCCTGGGCAAGAACACCTTTGAGTTCCTGAAGGAGAATAATTTCCAGCCTTACCCCCTACCACATGTCCGGCACATGGCCTACCAGCTCTGCCACGCCCTGAGATTTCTACATGAGAACCGACTGACCCACACAGACTTAAAGCCAGAGAACATCCTGTTTGTCAATTCTGAGTTTGAAACGCTCTACAATGATCACACGAGCTGTGAGGAGAGGTCAGTGAAGGACACCAGCATCCGAGTTGCTGACTTCGGCAGTGCTACCTTTGACCATGAGCATCACACAACCATTGTGGCCACTCGTTATTACCGCCCACCGGAGGTGATCCTTGAGCTGGGCTGGGCACAGCCCTGTGACGTCTGGAGCCTCGGCTGCATTCTCTTCGAGTACTACCAGGGCTTCCCACTTTTCCAGACCCACGAAGACCCAGAGCATTTGCTGATGATGGAGAAGATCCTAGGGCCCATCCCATCACACATGATCCACCGTACCAGGAAGCAGAAATATTTTTACAAAGGGGCCCTGGTTTGGGATGAGCACAGCTCTGATGGCCGGTATGTGATGGAGAACTACAAACCTCTGAAGAGTTACATGCTCCAAGACTCCGTGGCGCACGTGCAGCTGTTTGACCTGATGAGGAGGATGTTAGAGTTTGACCCTGCCCAGCGCATCACACTGGCGGAGGCCCTGCTGCACCCCTTCTTTGCTGGCCTGACCCCTGAGGAGCGGTCCTTCCACACCAGCCGCAACCCCAGCAGATGACAGGCACAGGCCACTACATGAGGAGATGGAACTGGGCTGCCTGGCCCTCTTTCTCCAACTTCTAACCACCGGGCCCCAGGGCCAGAGCCACCCAATGAACAGTGCAATGTGAAGGAAGGCAGGTGCCTGCAAGGGCTGCACCCCTTCTTTGCTGGCCTCACCCCTGAGGAGCGGTCCTTCCTCACCAGCCGCAACCCCAGCAGATGAAAGGCACAGGCCATTACATGAGGAGATGGAACTGGGCTGCCTGGCCCTCTCTCTCCAACTCCTAACCACTGGGCCCCAGGGCCAGAGCCACCCAAGGAACACTGCAACGTGAAGGAAGCAGGTGCCTGCAAGGGCGGAGACATGCCCAGCTACCGGAAAGCACAGATTTGACCCAAGCTATGTACATGTTGTAAAGTTATAATAAAGTGTTTCTTACTACTTGCAAAAACAAAAAAAGAGAGACAGAAGAGAAAGAAATACATCCTTGAGGGAGGGTTTTTTAGAAAAAGAAAATTTTAAATTGTGTTCATGAGAGAAAAGTGCACTTTGTCAGGGCACATATCTAGGTTTCAGGTTCCATCCCCAGTGCAGGCACATAAAGAATCAATGTTTCTCTCTCTCTCTCTCTCTCTTCCCCCCCCTCCCCCACTCTCTCTAATCAGTAAGAAACACATCCTGGAGTCCTGTGCCACGCTGTGTAGAGAGATCCTTGCAGCACAAAAAGAATCAATGTTTCTCTCTCTCTCTCTTTCTCTTCCCCCCCCTCCCCCACTCTCTCTAATCAGTAAGAAACACATCCTGGAGTCCTGTGCCACGCTGTGTAGAGAGATCCTTGTGGGAGATTCAGCTTTCCCTTTTGGCGTTTCAGAACGGAGAAGAGCCATCTGCTGCTGGTGAGTCCGGAGATGGGAACAACTGGGTGCGGGAGGCCGGAGCGAGGAAGACCTGTGGGTTCCTGAGCACCTGAGCAGTGCCCCGCTGACAGACATGTACCTCTAAAGGGAACCCAAACTCGGGATTGGCTTCTCTTAAAACACAAGCAGTTAATTATGTTTTCCTGTCCCCTGTCCGAACCTTCAGTCACCTAAACGCCCTATCAAATTTTAGATATCCAGATCTAACCCCGAGGAGTGAGGAAGGGGAACATTTGTATGGGGTAGAGCCAAGGCGAAGGTCCTCGAACACCCGCTGCACAGAGTGGCCCAGAGCCGTGGGCGCTAACAACCTCGCTTTCTGTGCAGCGGCCCTGGAAGGGCCCAGTGGGCACTTCGCCAGGGAATTCTCATTCGGATTCAGGTTATTTTAGAGCACATGCTTTCATTATGGTTCGGGGCCTTCCTGAGCCATCAAATGCTTTTGCTAAAATTTCGGGAACCAGGATGTCAACCTGAACGAAAGGGGTGATAATGGCCT